GACACTAACTCAAGGTAGTTTGCTCTAAGGGGTGATGCCTTTTATTTATTCGTATTGTTGTTAAGACTGACTTGGATTGGCTTTGATGAATATTAATATAAGAAGTTTTGAATGTGCTTGTTCTTTTGAGTTTGTAAGGGGGATATGTTAATAATAAGTCTTGCGGATGTGTAAAAGGATTAAAGATAGTATTAAATTCAGTATAATGTTACAAATTGTTTTGTATTGTTGTCTATGAAGAAGTAATTACTATATTCTTTTCTGATAATTTTGTTGATTACCATTAGAGATAGGAGGTCTTTATGTAGGTCATACTTAATCGGATGGAGCGAGTAATTTGGAGGACAAAATCCTTATCCAATAGTATTTTAAAAAAAAAAATGGAACTTAGTTGATCACTCATTATCTCTCAAGATATTGAGGAATTTATCTCTGTGTATATTGTGGGAATATACTGGGTATGTTGTTGCTTTTGTATATTGATGAATTTATCTAATAGAATTCCAATAATTATTGTGTCAATTGTCTATAAGCATTGCTTGTAGGCCATAGCTGGATTGCATCTTTTGCTTCAATGGTTTGTTTTGCCAAAAGCGCAGCTTATTATAAAACTATTGTGCCTAACATGCTCGGTGTTGTTGTGTGCAGCGTGTACTGTATATTGATATTGATGTTCATCACGGAGATGGAGTTGAGGAGGCTTTTTACACCACAGATCGGGTTATGACAGTGTCTTTTCATAAGTTTGGGGACTTCTTTCCTGGTACGGGGCATATCAAAGACATTGGTGCAGGTTCTGGCAAGTACTATGCCTTAAACGCCCCTTTGAATGATGGAATTGATGATGAAAGTTTTCGTCGTCTATTCCGTCCCGTTATCCAAAAAGTAATGGAGGTCTATCAACCTGAAGCTGTGGTTCTTCAATGTGGTGCTGATTCACTAGCTGGAGACAGGTTGGGCCTTTTCAACTTGTCTGTCAAAGGCCATGCTGATTGCCTTCGATTCCTCAGGTCTTTCAATATTCCTCTAATGGTATTGGGAGGTGGAGGTTACACAATTCGGAATGTTGCTCGGTGCTGGGCCTACGAGGTCTGTCTCTATCTCTATTTTGGTGCTTTTTCCTGTCTTTGGATTTTCACCTATTACTGTTTACTTGTCTTCTAAGTTGCGCTAAGATTGAACTTCTTTAATGTTTACAGACAGCAGTTGCAGTTGGAGTAGAGCTTGAGAATAAATTGCCTTACAATGACTATTACGAGTATTTCGGCCCAGATTATACTCTTCATGTTGAACCAATACCCATGGAGAATAAGAATTTGCCCCGGGATCTGGAGAAGATCAGGTAATTTGAAAATCATTCTTTTACGGCTTTGCCTCTTTTAAACTGTCGAAAAATACAATTCATTAATAGTATATGTTTGAAGCTGTATAGGGTAGGCAATTTTCCTTGTCTAATCAATTTGTGAAGCATCAGCCAGTGTGAGATCATGAACAAATCTTTGTTAACCTGCAATCAAAATGTAGAAATAATTTTGAGATATAGAGAACCCCTGGTGGTGGAGAATCCCTAATTTGTCTTATAAAGATAAATTATTAAGTGGAGGTCCAAATGGATTGCAATAAGGATTTATATTAACTTGAACTGGTTTGGAATTGAGTTGTTATTTTTGTTGTAAAAAATGTTAGCGTAGATATAGAAAAGTTCTTATCTTCCTTTTACAGCTATGTTGAATTGGTTTAATTAAAAATAAGCATTTGCAACCCTCACTGTCACACAATTTAACTCCACTAGAAGAATATCACTAGATTTTGTTTCACTTTTCTTCGTGATGTTCAACTCTCTTTGCTTTTCTGTTGCGTTGTTTGGAAATGGTATGCGGAGATATTCCCCTTTTCTTTTATCAATGTAGAATTTCTGCGTTTCCTCTTCATTCCAATTTTCTTACTCGTTTCCTTTATTTTTCAATTTAAGATGATGGGTATTTGACGTAAATGGTTGGTGGATTGCAGGAACATGTTGCTGGAACAACTCTCGCAATTACCCCATGTACCTAGTGTTCCATTTCAAATGATACCTTCCATTACAGAAGTTCCTGAAGAGGTTAGCTCTAGTTCATCTGCAAATTCATTTGATTTTCTATACTATATATGTTACCCGACCTGATCCCCGTTTAACTACTTCTGTATGCAGAGAGAGGAAGACATAGATCAAAGGCCAAAACCACGGATATGGATTAAAGAGGAATATGAGTCTTATTGCTGATTAAGATATGTGTACATTTGAAGTAGTGTCTTCAGTTTCATCTTTGATGTTCAATAGATTCTTGTATCATACATTTGAAGTAGTGTCTTCATCAGTTTCGCTAGAATATTTGATGTTCAATAGATTCTTGTATCATATTCTTTCTACATAATCGTTTAGTTGTATGTCATGTGTATATACATGCATGCGCACATTTTCTTTGCTATGGTCAATTTTTGCAGAATTTGTGTTTGAGTGGAAGTTAGATGGGCAAAGTGATACTAACAAGTGAAAAATGGGATTCTCCCTTAGAGAAAATGTCCAAAATCATCTTCTACATCTGAGGTTTTATTCAAGGGAACCGTCCGTATACCCCTTTAAAGAACCCTTAGCACTATATATTTTAATTATGAAATTACATGTAATACACATCAATTAATTATCCTACATACCCATCAAAGATAATAACTGTCCAATAAACTTGCCCCCTAAATTAAAGGAAACTATCTTGTATGAAACAAATACAATCAAAATCATATTCTTTCCGACCAAACTTTTACACGAAATGCTGATTGAATTTTTATCTTTTAAAATTATTTTTATATTGAATAAAATGTAGTGTAAATTTTTATTAATATTTAAGATTTAAAATTAATTAAATTTTGCTTATTAAATCTTTTTTTATTTGAACTACGTAGGAAATTCAAATATTTAGGACTTTAAAATGGATTATATATATATATAAAAAAATCTAAATTAATATGTATACACACACTTAGTGATTTCAATAACTTTTTATAGTAATTTATTCGTCCTATTAAGTTTTTATGTATTAGTAATATTTTCTTTGCTCACGCACATTTCGACAAAGTTATGTAATCATAATTTATTTTCAACAACTAAAACCTCATTATGTGGGTAACATTAAACCTCTGAAGGAAGATAAACTAAGAAGACATATGATTCAATTTTTTACTTTATTTTGTTTGATAAATCTTTAAAGAATAGTAATAAAAGCCTATATGTTTCAGAAAAAATGTTAAATACTAAATCTTCAAGGGCTATGTGTCTTTATGGAAAATTGAAAACTAAAAAAGAAGCACGATAACTTGTGAAATTAAACTGATAAAATTATAAAATAGGAACATAATTTAAGGTGAATTTATTGAATAATAATTGAGGACTTTTATGAAGAATGTTTTTTCTTTTATTGAGTTAGTTGTACAGGCGAAAACTTCATTTTATGTGTTTGACCTGGTCAATGGTGATAAAGCCTCTGATGGTTGTGACGTGTTGATATAACTCCAAAAGGCCGAGGTGAGACGTGAAAGACGAAGCGCTGTCGAGGTCAAAGTGGCTCAGCAGAGGACAAGGATGAGGACGAATATCCATCTTTAGTACAAAGTGATGATCAATTTTAGGATTTAGATCACCTAGAAAATATTCTATTGGATATTCCTTTCTATTGTACTATCTAGGGATTTGTGGCCCATGTGCTTTTATAAATAGAAAGAGTGGAGATGAGAAGATGAGAGGGGATTGGACATTTTGTAAAGAAATTCATCAACATTCTCTATACAAGATTCCTACTTTATTAAATAGAAACAAAGTTTGACTTTATATTTTTCTCATGTTATTCCTCTCTCCCGATCCAAGAAGGATTGGAATACACGATTATTTATCATCATCCATCATTTTCCAAAAAAGAATCTCATCCTTATCGGATGATCTTTGTCTCATTTACTATTTAGAAGCCATTTATTATTATTTATTGCTATCCTTTATACTTCTAGGTCTTTATTACTTCATTATTATCTAAAGTTGTCTTCTTTAGTATTGCACTTTAAAATACTTATCATAAAAACGTTAGATCTGTCCTTGAATATTGATTTGACTGTGATTAACCCCGATTTTCTAATAATTTAATTGTATAAAACCAAAACCTACTTTTGGGATCATACATTAGTTATATAGGATTAATATTCATCAATTTCAAAAGCTTACACTTTATTTATAAATTAAATATAATTTTAAAAATAAGATATAATTATCTTACAAAAATTGCTATTGAGATAGGATGCGCGTACTTAGTGTGTGTATATATTATGTATTTTCACAATTATATATTGTAAACATAAACAATTTAGTACAAATCCTACTCTAATTTCAAGACCATGAAACTTAAACAATTTTTACAAGAACATAAAATAGCAATAATTGAATTATGTTATTAGAAATATGTAAAATCTTTTTAGCAAAATTTGACCAAATACTAATTATTTTTCAATTATGGACAAAAGTATTTCTCACAATATATTTGACGGACCAAATACAAGATATCTTCTCTCAAGGTACTTATTTAAAAATTATTTTGATAAAAATGTTTCCCGGCTTTAGACACTTGGCGGAAAAGACTTAATAACTCCTTTCCAGTTTGTAGAATCATTTTCTTGTAAACTTTGTTCAACCATTTACTTTCATTTCCAACTATAAAATGGTTTGGAGCTTTACCTTACGCTTTTGAAAAGTTAGTACTACTTGGCAGCTGTTTTGGGTGTGATTGTGCAGAAATTTAGAAAGAAGAGCAGCTTTTTGAGAGTGAACGTACATAACAGTAGCGGCAGGCAATGGACTCTTCCACTTCAACCGTGGAGGGCGGCGCGTCGCTTCCTTCGACCGGTACCGACGCGACAAGCGCCGTGTTACTTATTTCTACGACCCTTACATCGGCGACTATTACTACGGCCGGGGCCATCCAATGAAGCCTCACCGTATTCGCCTTGCCCACACTCTTGCTTGCCACTATGATCTTGATCGGCGAATGGAGATCACTCGGCCGTTCCCGGCGACTTCGGAGGACATTCGGCGGTTCCACTCGCCGGAGTACGTTGACTTTCTCTCTTCCGTTTCACCCGAGACTCTTTACTACCAGACGCATGGTGCCCACGACCTTAAACGCTTCAACTTCGGAGAGGATTGCCCTGTTTTTTGTCAAGCGTCTGCCGGTGGATCCATTGGCGCCGCCGTTAAGCTTAATCGACAAGATGCTGACATAGCCATCGATTGGGCTGGTGGGTTGCGACATGCAAAGAGAAGCGGGACCTCCGGATTTTGCTATGTTAATGATACTGTTCTTGGAATTCTTGAACTTCTAAAGGTCCACAGGGTAAATACTCTTCTTCTGATGCTCTGTTTTTCTTACTACTCGTATTTTATTTGCTTATTTACGCGCACGAAAGTAAACTCTTTCATATTGGAGCATATATCTATGTGTACGGTGAATATTTTGTACCTTCTTGGGTATTCTTTTGGGCATCGCTGATGTACTCCGTTTCTGGGTGTAGCGGAGTCGGTGCAATGGTATAGCCCCTCTAATTATGTGTTTGATATGTTATGGCAGTTACTGCTATTTTGTGTATATTCGTGGTGTTGATATTAGGATAGCTTTGGGATATTTTAACTGCGTTGCTGAAAAATCTGAAATGTAACAGAAGTATTTTATTTCTGAAAAGTCAAGCTGTCTGAATTTATGTGTAATTGAAAATTGTTGCTTACTTGATCCTGTGAGTATTTCGAAATTTTATTAGTTCTTCTTGGTGATGGTAAATCTCCCAGAAGGAATGTTTATTGTAATGAAGATTCCAGTCGTTGTTAGGCATAAATTTAGCTCACTGAAGAGAGAGTTTGGAATGAATCACTGCTTATGGTTTGGCTAAAAAAGGTCCAGAGAAAATTGATGTTATGTAATCTGCCTCCCCTTGGATTGAATGTAAATATGGTTTTCGGTCAAAGATCTTCAAAGTTCCTTTGGTTCATGCAATTCTAGTTATGGAGTTACCATTTTAGTATTTCAATATTTAAATTTCTTCCTACCTTGAAGCTGTCTAAGAAGTCAAAAGTCCTTTTAATTTTGTTGTTAGTATGAAGATAAGCTCTCCGCTAAATAATGGCCTTAGCAGGTCAGAACATTTTCCCTTGGGAAACATCAGGCATCAAGTATGTCGTAGTATTCTGTAATATTATCATATATCTCCTGTATGATAGTGTATATGAGAGGAAAATCACTTTTTCTTAATTTATGTTAATGAATTTAATGTGACACCCCATGTTTATGTTGATTATTGATTGCATATTGGATGCTTGGTATAGGATATTCCTTGTGTTTTATGTACTACTTTTCTGTTAACCTTTCGGGAAGCAAAAAGAGAAGATTGATTAGAGGTGTGCCTGAGGCACATAGGCATGGCAAGTCGGGCCTTTATTCATGGTGGTACATCGCAGGGATATTATCATTGGAGTATAACCTAAATTGGCTGTGCAATGTACTGAAGGCTAGGCACTATTGAAGACACTAAATCAAGGTAGTTTGCTCTAAGGTGTGAGGCCTTAGCATTGTTGTTGAGGCTGACTTGGGTTGGCTTTGATGAATATAAAGAGGAAATTTTGAATGTGCTTCAATCTTTTGAGTTTGTAAAGGATATGTCAATAATAAGTCTTGAGGAAGTGTCAAAGGATTAAAGATAGTATTAAATTCAGTATAATGTTACAGATTGTTTTGTGGTGTTGTCTATAAAAGAAGTAATTACTCTATTCTTTGCTCATATTTTGTTGATTACCATTACAGATGAGGGGTCTTTATTTAGCTCGATCTTTAATTGGATGGAGCAGTAATTTGGAGGACAAAATACGTATTTGCTATTTTTTTAAGAACTGGAACTTAGCTTATCACTCATTATTTCTGTAATTATGGAGGACTCATTTGCATCCCCTGGATGCTTAATGAAAGCTAACTTTATGTGATCTTAATTTTTCTTTTGTAATTATTGAGGAACTTAGCTTATAGACAATTGTTGTATCAACTGTGTATAAGTGTGCTTGTAGGCCATATCTGGAAAGCATCATTTTCTTTAATGGTCTCCTTTGCCAAACACTACTAGAAATAACGTGATTTCCGTCCAAGGGTTTCCGATCGAAATCGGTCGGAAAAAAATCCGACCGAAATAAGAGTATTTGGTAGCAATTTTCGACCGAAATCGGTCGGAAATTGGTCAAATATTTGGTTATACTTGTATATAATGTACAAAAATAATTATTTATTAAAATTTTTCCAATTTTCCGATCGAATTCGGTCGGAAATTGGTCAAATATTTGGTTATACTTGTATATAATGTACAAAAATAATTATTTATTAAAATTTTTCCAATTTTCCGATCGAATTCGGTCGGAAATTGGTCAAATATTTGGTTATACTTGTATATAATGTACAAAAATAATTATTTATTAAAACTTTTCCAACTTTCTGACCGATTTCGGTCGGAAATTGGTCAAATATTTGGTCATGCGTGTATATAATGTACAAAAATAATTATTTATTAAAAGTTTTCCAAATTTTCAACCGAAATCCGTCGGAAAGTTTGAAATAATTAATTTCCGCCCAAGACAAAAATTATATATATTTAATTAACCAACCAAAATAAGTTATAATTAAATATTTTCGACCGATTTCGGTCGAAAAAATAATTTTAAAATAATTAAAATATAAATTTATTAATATTTGTGTGTGTGTAAATAATAAANATACTATATATACATCTAATATACTATACTATACTATACTATACTCTCTCTCTCTCTCTCTCTATATATATATATATAAACATCTTAATATAGCTAATGTTATGTCACGCCCCAAAATTCTCTCCTTCGGACCGTGATAGCGCCTAACATTTCACTTGCTAGGCAAGCCAACGTTAGAATAATATTAACCAATTTTTAAATTATTAATTATCAAGGAAACAAAGCGGAAGCAAAGTTTAAAATATGGTGAAATAATCCATAAAATAACGGTGTCTAAATACCATCCCAGAATTGGTGTCACAAATGCACGAGCTTCTGGGATAAATACAAATAAAGGTCTGAATAAAATAAAGCTGTCTGGGAATAAACACACAGCTAAAGTAAAATAGACAGGGACTTCAGAACTGCGGACGCCATGCAGTTATACCTCAAGTCTCCTATGGTAGCTGAAATCCGAGCAAGTCTATGGTACGCCGCTGGGACCAACTCCAAAATCTGCATAAGAAGTGTAGAGTGTAGTATCAGTACAACCGACCCCATGTACTGGTAAGTGCTGAGCCTAACCTCGACGAAGTAGTGACGAGGCTAAGGTGGTTCACTTACATTAACCTGTACGCAATATTAATAACAACCACAAATAATAGAAATATATCAGATAACTCATTTATAATAATTGAATCCAACCCAGCAGCCATAATCCATTATTGTTTCAACCAATTCTGTTGTAGCGTGCAACCCGCTCTCATAATATATTCACATTCAATTCTATTACAGCGTGCAACCCTCTCTCCCAATATTTTTATTTTAATCAAGTCTGTCATATATTTATTTCAATCAAATATATATATATAGACTTTTAAATAAGTCTGTTGCGGCGTGCAATTCGATTCCCCAATATTGACTTTTCAATAAGTCTATTGCGGCGTGAAATCCGATCCCCCAATATTGACTTTTAATAAATCTGTTGCGGCATGCAATCCGATCCCCCAATATTGACTTTTAATAAGTCTGTTGCGGCGTGCAATCCGATCCCCCAATATTGACTTTTAATAAGTCTGTTGCGGCGTGCAACACGATCCTCCAATATATCAATTATTATAGAAGAAATTTCTCCAATAAATACAATAATTAATATAAAATTATAAGACAACAATCATACAACAATTATAATTTAATTATGAAAGAAACAATGGCAAATAACAAATTCTTATAAAAATCAGGGAGAAAATAGGCAGTTTAATATTTAATATGCTAAATGTCAAATAACAATTAAAATACATAATTCAAATAGCATGTAACAATTAATGCAGCAATTCAAGAATTAATATTTGACAAAGAATAAGAGAGAAACAATTATTATAATTTATAATAAAATTTTTTTAATGATTTTTCAAGTAAGCAGACAAACAATTAATTTGACGACGTATAGACACTTGTCACCTCCCCTATACGTCGTTCACATGCAATTCACATAACAAATAATTTAAGGTTTTTATTCCCTCAAGTCAAGCTTAACCCCGATACTTACATCGTTTTGTAAATTCCAATCAATTATTCAACCACAGCTTTTCCTTTTAAATTTGCCTCCGAAAGCTTCAAATCTATTCACAAACAATTCAATATATTCAATACTAATCATAGAAATTAATTCCATATGAATTTACATATTTTTCGGATAAAATCCGAAATTTATTAAAATATTCGACAGTGGGATCCACGTCTCAAATCCCGGGAAAACTCGCGAAATCCAAATACCCGTTCCGATACGAGTTCAACCATAAAAAATTTGTCCAATTCCGATATCAAATGGATCTTTAAATCTAAATTTTTCGTTTTTGGAAGATTTTAGAAAAATGTGATTTTTCTTCCATAAATTCATGGATTCATGATACAAACGAGTATGAAATCATAAAATATAATCAATATAGGATAAGGAACACTTACCCCAATATTTTTCCGTGAAAATCGCCCCAAAATCGCCTTACCCGAGCTCAAAAATGGGAAGGAGTTGAAAATGGGTCGAAACCCCATTTCCAGAACTTAAGTTCTGTTTCTGGGATTTTTACCCTTCGCGTTCGCGAAGGTACTCTCGCGAACGTGAAGCACAACTTTGTGCTGTCCAATTTTTACTATTTGCGAACGCGAGGGCTACCTCGCGAACGCGATGCTTGCCTGGCTTGGCCTTCGCGAACGCGAAGGCTAATTTTTCCTGGCCAGTCTCTTTCCCTTATCTTTGACCTCAACTGTCGGACCTGCCGGGCTATAATAGCCACCGGCTCCTCCTCGTAAGTCAAATCTTTGTCCAATTGGACTGAGCTGAAATCTAACACATGGGACGGATCACCATGATATTTCCAGAGCATAGACACATGGAACATTGGATGAACCGCTGATAAACTAGGTGGTAATGCAAGCCTGTAGGCTACTTCACACACCCTTTCAAGAATTTCAAAGGGTCCGATATACCTAGGGCTCAACTTGCCCTTCTTTCCGAACCTCATTACACCTTTCATAGGTGAAACTCGGAGCAATAATCGTTCTCCAACCATGAATGCAATATCACGAACTTTACGGTCGGCATAACTCTTT